CCCAAAACCCCAAAACCCCAAAACCCCAAAACCCCAAAACCCCAAAACCCCAAAACCCCATCAAAAAATATTATAACTGAAGCCCTAGCTCAATAATATTTTATCTTTTATTTGACTGTAAAATGAGTTACGCCTCTGATCACCTTGCATGGCAACAAAGAGTCAATAGAGAAGTTAATAAGGCAAAAGATTTTGAAAGCAATTTCTTCCCTTTGGAGTACAATGAAAACTCTCCAATGAAGGGCCTTGCTGAGAAATTCTCAGCTCCATACTGATTCTCGGATCCAAATGGAATTGCTAAATATGACTTGAAAGAGACTATGCAGAGGATGGACTGTACTACAAAAGACAAAGGGAGGAAATTAAAGAGCTATAGAAATTCTTTAACAAACCTGAATAATCATGAAGGTCCTTTAAACACTTTCCAATCTACATATAAAACCACGAGTAGTCCTTTTGTATCAAATTTGTCGAAGTCAGCAAGGAAAATCACTAATTCATTGAAGAGAACAGAAATAGAGAAGATGATGGCTTCAGCTTCCAGTGGGGATGTATTTAACACAGATAGATATCCTAGAGCTAAACCATTTTTCTATCAAGCGTATATAGCAAAGAGTAAGACAGATACACTTTCTCAAGCTTCTTCAAAATTAGGAAGAACAAGGTCTATTGGAAACCTTATGAAATCTTACCGTCCTGAAAAGAACAGTGATCCTAAGCATGGAACTGTATTACCAAGAATCAAGAAAGAGAGATTTAATGAGGATACAGCAAGTGAATACTCTTTACAGAGTAAAATGTCTAAAGTAGCAAAATTAAAATTAAAATCCAAGAAGTTCTCTGCTTTAGGCACAGAAAAGTTCGTGCCTCAACATTTGACTTATGCCAAGCAGGCTAAGGTTGATGGATCCCACCTCTCTCAAGTTTCAGACAGAGCAAGCGAAATTAAGAACACCTTAATAGGCACGATTGAGAGGATGAATGATAGAGAAGTTGAAGTCATGAAATCTGCAATTGATAGTGTGAATACCCCACATAAACCTAGACAAGTAAGCTTAAAGCAGTGATTATTTTGGTTTTATAAGCAAAAGTTGTTATGCATGAGTATTTTGATTCATGCATGGCTTTGGATCCTCATTCTTAAACAACCCTGAATAGGTGAATAACGAAACAAAGAGTACAGGAATCCAAGAAAAAGTTAATGAAACTTCCTTAGAAAAGGTACCAGAGGAGGATAAGGATGAAGCAGAAAATTCAATGATGGAGAAAGAAGAAGAGGAAGAGCTTGCTGATAATGTAGAAGATCTTCCTGAAAAATTAAGTCCAGATAAGGCAGCTGGTCATTCTACCAAAAGTAAAAGCTCAAGAAGATCTGTAAGATCTTCTAAATCGACCCAGATTATTAATGAGTTAGAATCCCAGATTGAGGATGAAAGGAAAGAAAGAGAGAAGTTACAGAAAGAAATTGAAGAAATGAAGAAAATTAGTACCCAGCTTATGGAACAGATAAAGGAAAAGAAAGCTTAAGGTTCTTAAATACATTTCATGGTAGTTCAATCTGTAAGAGTCTAAAGGGGTTTTGGGGTTTTGGGGTTTTGGGGTTTTGGGGTTTTGGGGTTTTGGGG